GTACGCACGCATGAGATGCGTGCGTGCGTACGTATGAGGTGATCGCGCCGCTCTCGAACAAGTTCGCGACAGCGCGAGACTTCGTTTTGCAAAATGGCGGCATCGAAGGCAAGCACCGACCGGCTCTGTGGCTGAAAATATGGCCATAATCTGGCTATAACACTTGGATTGGCTCACATTGGCTGTCAACAACACGGGCTTCTATTTCGATCTACCAGATGGCGCAACACGCTTCAGGCTCGTTACGTACGCGGGTACTACGGCGTACTAAAAGCCGATCAGTGGCAAATGACGCCACGTAACGCAAGGCGCTTGCGTGATGCGTACGTAGCACCATTCCGCAGTACTTAAACTCTCTATTAAAGTGCGCCTAAAGTGAACCACCTTGAAGTTAGCAAAATTTGCCTATCCTGAACACAAGAGTTCGCGCCATATACAGTGATCAGTAACACCTGTATTGTTCCTTCCTCTGTATTTATTATGATCCATACAGCCAAAGCATGGAGATGTCAAGCTGAGCAGAAAGCCTTTGTTTCCAGATGTGAAGCTGTCGTAAGCTGTGCCATACTTCGTAGTTTTTTTTTTTTTTGAGTAACTGGTATTTATGGCCCACCTTTTTCGCTTCGTGCGGCACGCATCCACAAAATGATATTTATAAAGCAAGAGCGAATCGTAAACAGACGCTGCAGCAACACCTAAGGTACGTCTTCGTCTTAGTTGTTAATGAATTACACGCCTAATATGCAGCCGGCCTAGACCGCAAATAAAAACAAGCGTAATCAGTACTCAGAATTCGAATTTCAACTCTTGTTCGCTTTAAATAAATGTTGACGGTTTCGAGAAATCCGGGTCATTAAAAAGTCAAGAAAGGTTACTCGTTGCAAAAATAGTTCACCGAGCCACCGTTCGACTTAGTTGTAAGTGTACAGTATGTTCCGCGCGTATCCATTTCATGCCCTAGTGTACGACGCGTCGAATGCAAGCTGCTATCCGATTTTCGTTTCACGCCTTGGAGACTGCGCGGGTCAGTAATCGGCGCAGTTTTTTACTAAAGTCGGCGTGAACTCCCCGGTAGTGGAGTGATGACCACTCCCTGCAGACGCTGCCCTCTTCTCTTTCGCGATGGCTGTGGTTCCAAGCGCCACCGCGCGATAGAATCGCGTAACGTTCCTCAGAAAGGGCGTCGATAATGCCATTTCATGGCACTTGAGCCTGTCGCTCGGACGGCGCCATTTTCCAGCAGTGTACAGGAGTGTTGTGAGCGGGCCTCGTTTCGCACACACGAAGACGCACAGATAAAGAAAAAAAAAAAAAGAAGAGACGGTGGTGAATACACGGGAGGGCGAGTTCGATGCAATAACGACACCAAAGACGTCCACAGTCAGTCATAACACTCATTGTGAGCACACACGTCTTGGGAAGAGCCTCGGTGATCGTCGAAGTACCGCATATATCCGTGTAATGGCCGCACTTTCTTGCCTTATCTTAATTTTCCTTTCCCCTCCAGCTTCTTCGCAAAGAGCAGAAGCCGCCTAAATGGCAACAGATTGCTCGAGCCTTAGTGCGTGTTTAGCTTCACCAGTAAACGCCACATTTCCTCAATCACGTTGGTTTTGTAAAACCGTGGTAACTTAAGGAAATGAGTACAATACGGCCCTGGGTCCAATAAGAAAAGTAAAATCAAATCTGCAGCTTTTCTGGATAGTTAAAGCAAGTGCATGACTTTGGGCTTCAGATATAAAAGGCGCTTTACAAAATGACGGGAATTTTCGCACTGTAAGTTCGCCAGAAACTTGTACTTGGAAGGGCAGCTAAAGCGAATCGATTCATCTGAGCTTTTGCGTTCAGAAATCACAAAGCTTATCTGCGTAATGCCACAGGGCAGTTTGATTCGAGCGATTCTTAAGGTATACCCCTATATTCCCAGGTGCATATGAGACAAGCTTCAATTTGAGTGTTCATTGAGGGTCCTCAGACGAAACAGCAATACAGCTATTTAACAAGGCTCTTCTCAAGAAGCGGCTTATTTACACATGGTCAGACCAAAAAAAAAAAAAAACAGCACACTCTTCACAATACGCAGGCACTATATGAATCCAACATAGTGAACGAGTTAGAAACACTAGGTATCGGAACGGAGAATGGACAAAACGAAGTTCGTGGTGAGCCACTGGACATTCAAGGTGCCAAGTTGAGCACACCAAGACTGCCGCTGTTCTTAGCATGACTCTGTGTTTTATTTGGCGCTTCAGAACATACAGTGTCTTATATTTGAACACAAAAAATATTGTTTTTGACATATTGGACCCCTACCCACTACTTTTTACTTCGATACGGACTGTACTTACTAATCCTGATCGTTAGTTGCTCGTGAATTCTCTTTCACCACCCAACGGTCAATATTGGTGGCTAGACCTTTACGACTTACCCTGACGTATAGGTCTTCGCAGTTTTTTTCTGATTTAAGAAAAATGTTATAAATTAAGTAACGAGCGACCTAGTACTTCTATACCAAAGGAGTTACCGCATTCACACAATACAGAACTCATCCATCGTAGACAGCACCCAAACAAACAGCGGTTCGGGAGCTTTCCTCGTAACCACCATTCACTCGAGGTAGATGTTACGTTGATTGATTGGCAGTGAATATCACTGCTTATTCCATTATATTTGTACCAACGTTAGTAGTTAGCAATAAACGTCTACGAAATATACATTCCAATGAAAAATACAGCAGACAAGAAACTAACGCTGACGTTTCTGTTCTCGAAAGGCGATAAAACATCTGTTAAAGGAAAAAAAAAGATTGAACGCGACAATAGTTTAGTGCGAACGCTCATTCAGCTCATCAGAAGCCGCACCTGCCATAGCTCACTTCTCAAAGAACAAATGAGACTGGAATAAAGTGACGACGTCGACCTCCGTTTGTTCTTACATGTCCAGTGGCTCACGAGAACGAGGTCACAACATCACCAAGCAGGAAACACATCTACGACGGCATGCCTAGTGTTCCAAGCTTACACAGGGGCTCCTACTACACTATAGACAACCATCGCATCACCAGAAGGGATGCGGAACCCCATCTATACACTACGGTTATCTAAGCACAAGTACAAAAGTACACACAGACACTAAAGAACGACTCTTGCCACAACCATTTTGTTATCATCAGGGTATAACACACGGAATGCAAGACGCCAAAACAGACCATAAGGCAAACACCCAGTTTCACAAGCATACGCTAGCAACAGACTGCCAAGAACGTTCACTAACAGCCGTGCGCGCTGAGAGGAAATATGTGATGTCCCATGACGCTGCGCTATCCACAGGAGCAGTGTAGTCAAGCAACGTTAATACGGCTTAAACAGTACGATGCAAACGCTTGTTAAACAAAGATTTTAGTGAATGCCTCTATTAGAGCTGTTAGTTTGTGTGATAGTGGAGTAAAGTTGAAAAAATAAAAGCAAGGAACATGCGGTACATTCCTAGCATTCACAGATATTGTAAGGAATGTTTCCGGAAAAAGATTATTCGGGAGTGTTGACAATCGTTCGCTGCACGATCCGGCCCAAAGTAAATATAAACACTCTCAATTAGTTAGAGCAGCATAACCAAACGTTTTAAGTGCACATAATAATTAAGTTCCTGATATGCTAATGAATGCTCGTTCACGTAAAGAATATGTCTTTGGGGTCTTTATTTTATATTTTATTAAATCAACCATCTGATCTTGAACCATTACAACACGTTGCGTTGTTCGAGTCGGTGCAAAATGTAGACAACAGACACGGAAGTATTGTCAAGCTGCAAGTTAGGTCCACTTCGGGAATATCATAATGCGTACCACGTTGGGTATGCCCGAAGGATACCAGATTATTATAATAGCAGAGTTCGCTATTCAGACGCTAGATTCTTTCCAACACTTCCAATTGCAGACGTGCCGTGAAAGCTAAGGTTGCCAAATCTAAGTGATAATTTCTAACAGGAGTCCCGCATTGGTGCACGTTTCAATATTAAAGTTATGAAAACGAGTTTCCTAAACATTATTATGGCAACAGAGTATAAACAATGCATCTTCTATGCATTTCGCGTAAATATCAGGCCTCCATTTCGTACTGTATGTGGGCCTAATACACGTAGTTGGCGCGATATATATTTTGGCCTTTCAATTGTTTCATTTCGGCAATCATTCTTCTTATCGCTGTGTAAAGATTCACAAGGCTCGACTAATAAAGTAAGACTTTGGATTTCTATCTGATGCCGTGTACCGCGTACAAAAAAAAAAGTTCACTGTCTCTGCGGGTAGATATCACTGCGCTTGAATGCCATTCTGTGTTCGATTCGGTTCAATTCGATCAAGTGTTTATGAGAGAAAACGGAAATTATATGCAACTGTACGTGTACAGGATGTGGTTTAGAGATTCGATCTCCACAGGCAGGATCTCCTACGCGAGTGCTTGGAAATGTTCAAGACACTGTATCTGTCTGCCAGGCGTTGAGGGATCCAACCTCTCTGGTATCACCGTGTAACACTTAAGTTTTAGAATAGAGCACCCAAACTTTGAGGACGCTTTTCTATGCGTTTGCTGCCACTGCGCATGCGTCATACATGTGTGCCTTTTGGGTACACACGTTAAGCCTAGAAAACAGCGTGTTGTACCCAACAAATGCTATCTCTGCGTACCCTATTAAAGAAAAGGAATGTTTAGACTATTTGGTCTGCCGAGAGACCTGATATCAATCGGTGATGGTCGCATCGGACAAATGTTTTTTTTTTTCTATTGGGCACGTGACAGGGTATTAAGGAACATCAAAATTTTCTCAGAACAGGTAATAGATTGAAAGTGTATATTGTTTTTGAAAAAAAAAAACAGAAACAGTGATAGGGAAAACAATCATCATTATAACTTCACTGCAGCTTTCACCATCGAATGGTTCGACAGGCATATTTTTCTTATGCAACACGGTATATACAGAGTGATTAGACAATGGTGACCCACCTCATCGGTTTCGGAGCCAAAAAGGAGCAGATCGAAGGGGATGGCAGCAACGACGTCAATGATGAACCAGCCTCGCAGGTAGTGGACGGCGATCTTGCCCGGATGTGAGACCACCTCGTCGTTCGAGTTGACGTAGGTGGTGCGGAAGTTGATCAAGATGTCGATCATGAAGAATATGTCCACTGCGACCGAGCGACGAAAGAATATAGGACGCCGTTGAAGCCGGCAGCAGCCACGTGCAAGGCATTCCGCACCGTGAACTATGTCAAACCGCACTCGGTATAACCACGAGGATAATGTTTTCGTCATATTTATTGAACAGCATCCGCAATGTGCAAGTCAGATTCTTCCTGTAATGAATTATGCGGGAAAATTCTCTGCAGCGAGGTTCCAACGCTATAGTTCTCGCCTTTCATGCGTTCTTCATTCATGACGACACGACGTTGAAAAGATTCAAAGTTGTTATCGCTTAATTGATATGTGGGGTTTAACGTCCCAAAACCCCTATACGATTATGAAAGACGCCGTAGTGGAGGGCTCCGGAAATTTCGACCACATGGTGTTCTTTAACGTGCACCCAAATATGAGCACACGGGCCTACAACATTTCCGCTTCCATCGGAAATGCACCAGCCGCAGCCGGGATTCGAGTTGCGACCTGCGGCTCAGCAGCCGAGTACCTTAGCCACTAGACCACCACGGCGGGGCAAAGTTGTTATCACGGGAAAGTTATAAAAAGAGATATACACAGTTCCGTAGACCATGATTCTGCTATTAGGGCCTGTTTGTATTGCCACTAGTTGGTAATAGGTTGCGCATAATGGACGCGGACAGAAGAAACAATGGAAAGTTCGCGCCTTGTGTGTGTTTCATGGTTCCATCTTCTGTCCGAGTCCATTATGCATGTGCAAACACGTTTTACCTATTACAAACAAACAGAAATAGCACTCTTCTTGTCCATAATTTTTTAGTAAGCTTGCGTAATCTGAACGCACACGAAAACAGAAAGAACAGGCGCAGACCTGCTCTGGTTGTTTTCGTTTTCGTCCGCGCTGCCACGTATAGCGTAAGTGTCACTAATAGGCTTGAAAAGCGTTCTCAGCATAAGGCGATCACTTTTCTAAACGATTTATCAGCGGACACTGGACTAGATAAGAGTTCGTGCTCAGCAGATACGTGTAGCTGTTTGCGAAATTGTGTGTTAGTAGAAAATAAAAGAAAAATTGATAACCTTAATTTCAGGTCTGGTGGTCCCATGCCACCAATTTGCTGCGGGGTGGGTGCCCTCTCAAGCGACTATGAATTTCATTCTGCCAAGCACAAGGCCAGAAGTACGCTTGTACCTATTCAACCAGTAGGTGCCTGGAGGCAGCAATTCTTTGCCTCCCGCAGCAGCGGCGGATGCTCATCTATTTCGCAAAGGCAGTGGTGGTTTAAGGTACGCCCAGGGGCCTTCGCAGAAACTTATGGGGTTACCTTTCGAGAAAAGCACCCAGAAACAACCAAGCGCCCGGTCTATGTACTGCTCTACCCATTGGGAAAAACCAGTGGGTTCCCGGTCGGCACTGGGAGTCGAACCCGGTACCTCCAGCATTAGAGGCGGACGCTCTAACCGTGTAACCACCACTGTGGTTCTTTGCCCGTTTCCTGTGGGTGTAACCTGGAAAGAAATGAGTGCGTGTGAACGTTACGTCGCAAGGTGAACTCCTGAAAGGAAGCTGTCCATTGTCGTGTTCTTTTCTTTATTTGTTGTAGTTTGCTATATGGCTTCTCTATACTTGGTCGTGTGAACACCATACTTGGTCGTGTGAACTTGAAGAAATGAAGTTGCTGATGCATGTGATTTCAACCTCAACATCTCCTCAGCAAGATAGCTATAAAACAAAACAGAACTGAGCAGACATGCTCATCAATATCGCTGGCGCCCGATTCCGAGAGATTCAGAAATAATAAATATCGCGTAGTGATCTATACTCGTACCCTACGAAGAACGTGTAAAAAAGTACCGGACAGTTCACACAAAGCTATTCACATCGAAGCGCGGGGCCATAACCGCTTCTACTTACCGCCAACCGACATTTTTATATTCAATGCGTGCCTTCCTGCTCGCTCTCCATTTGTTTCCCATCCTTCTGCGCTACACTTTACTTTATCCCCACCTCATTTTCCCTCTTCTCACCGTCACATCTTTCCTCTTCACAATCACTTCCATTTCCCGCCTCCTCGCTATACTATACAAGGCTACGCAATGCTCTGCTGGCGTGCCTGGACAGCCGAGTGGTTAGGACGTTCGCACTCTGATCAAGGGTACGTCCATGGGTTCGAATCCCGCATAATAAAAACGATCACATCTCTCTTCCTTACGCTCACTTCTTCCAATCACCTTGATAAACTGCCGCAGTGGTGTGAAGTGGGACGTGCTCGGGCTCTGTGGCATATGTCTATTCATGGTGATAGATCTGCGGCACTGTCTACGTTACGTAGTATCCGATGTTTATCGCATCCAGTACTGGACAGAGCAGATGACACATAACACACAAACAGCGTTATGTCTCCTCTGCACTGTCCCGTAATGACGCTATGGATACCCGCGAAGCTCGCCGTTCAACCTTAGTCGACAATACGACGGGCTTCGACAGCTTCTCCGTTAAAAATTTACGCACCGATGAGGTCGATGACAACGATGGGATCGTCGCCGTACTTTCGGTTACGGCGCGAGTCGGGTCTCTGCTGGTCCAGCAGGAAGGCGGCCACGTAGGGCGTGAAGATGGCCGTGTAGATGACGAGCAGCAGGATGACCCAGTCCCAGACCGCCTTGAAGGGCGAGTAGTGAAGGATGGTCCACTTGTGCGTCCTCGGCTTCTGCAGCTTATACTCGGGGAGCACGTCCGCGCCCAGCGACAGAACCTGCGTTTTCCGGGTGGCCACGGCAAACAAACAAGTGGAGCGTCAGAGCTGCGCGCCCCTCGACGACGCGCACCCAGCGTCACGCTGCTTGCTACGGCGCCCCTTCTCTCTGTATTCCTTAAAGCAGGGCCTGCATACGCTCGTCGCTGTGTCAGAGATTGCCCTGACAGTGCGCGAACACGGTGCGAAACCTCCTGGTATTCCGAGAAGCCGACGGCATTAGCCGTTCAGCAAAGGCTTTCCTTATACAATATTACAGCGCTTTTTCTCCTATAAAAGGCTGAGCAGTTGAAAGAAAGCTGCTTCTCTAGAAATTTTGATTGCATTGCGTGCTGGTTTACAGTTATTGAAGCGCTGTCTGTTAGGACACCATCTTGGCGACGAATCCTTTAACTATACTTAACGTATGTTGCACGCTTCCTTCACTAAACCGCGTAGACGTGTACCAGTCTCGTTTTTTTCACTCGGATTCACGCTCGAGACAATTGCTATGTTTATGAAACTAGTAAGCGCGGAAAGACGGGAACAAGAAGACGACACACAAAGCGCTGCAGTGTGCCGTCTTTGCAGCGCTTATGAGTTTCATAACCAACTAGCTCGGACCCAGCCTCTGACACGGTAAATTGCTAAGCGCTTTATAATGCTGCCCGAACACGTTCGCGCGTGCGATGCCCTCTTTTCTAAAGGACGCTTCTTCGATTGGACAGTTTGGCTGTTCGAGATTAGTGGTCTTGCAAAAAGTGAGGACGTATCAAAGTTTTTTATGCCGTACGAGCAGGGCTGCCCGAAATCCTATGTATGATCTTGAGACAATTAGGTATTAAAGAGCACGCCTTGTGAACAAAACTTTAAACTTCGATGGCATGATGGCGCGAGGCCACCAACAGTTGTGCACAGAATACGTGCTGCTTAGCGACTCGATCTTTCACTCTGAACAAGCTTACACTTCTTGTTATTGTTCCCTTCTGTTCCCGACATTTCCTTGTCGCTAAAGACTATGGCCCGACAGAGGTGCAAGGCCATGTAACATACTTCCATACCATCACAGAAGAGCTAACTGCCAAACTTTCGGGGCGCTCTCAAATTGTTCTCTGACACAGCGATGAGAGGGCCACTTCGCGCACAAGTGCGAGCAAGGCATTTTTAGATATATCTCGTTTTCTTAGTTTTCAAATTACGTTACAACTTTAAGGACACAGGCTCCGCGAGCAGCATTCTGTACATCCAGATAAATAACGACAACCACACGACAACAGCGACACGGTGAATGTATAAATGGTAAAAAAAGAACACTCAAAGGAGTAGGAAAGAGAGAGAAAAAAGAGACTGGTTGACGGCAAACACCCCATGCTGGCAAGAATATAATGTAAATGTGTAACACACAGTTCCGAGCCATGCAGCAGGTCTCGCGTAGTCCACAGAGTGCCCGTAGCAAAACGAACGAGTCGCACTTGGCTGCTCGGTTAAGCAAAAGAAACTTACGAGGCGGGAGGCCTTGCTCGCGCGACAACAAACGCTATCGGCAGCGCGACGCCGGTGCAGCGTGAAACGGTTGTTTCTTTTCTCTTCTGCTCGCATTAGCAACGCGGCAGAATCACAGCGGATACGTTCTCTTCTTGCAAGATCTATATTACGCACACTTGACACTCCGCCGCCGCTGGCGTTAGACGGCGGAGGCATGCGACGCAAGCTGCCAGGTACGACACAGCCAAACAGCGACACGTGCAGGCAGTAAATGGCGGACGAAAGAAACCGGCCGCAGTTGTCGCGTCACCGTCTCTGCTCGGTACACTTACTTCGCTAAAGGTGAATTTGAGGTCCGCCAGAGTTGAGCTAATAAGCGCGAACACTTCATTAACCTTAGCCGATGGTCATTACACAACAGACTCTCTGGTCGATTGTAGTTTCACCTTCATAACCACAGCTCGCTATGGCTCATCAAAAGTCATAGCGTGACGGGAGACGTTGTAGCAGATGGGTGCTAAGCAATGAATTCACTCATTTACCTTACATTTGCAAATCTCTACAAGAGCATACACAGTTTGTAGCTACCTGTGTTCTTTACGCTGCCTCTTAGGACACGTCTGGACAAGCTGCGCACCTTGTGTTATCATCAGACACCGAGACAGTATTCAGCCATCGATGACAATCTTGCAAGATGGTAATTTAAGATACACTTATTTAAGATACTTTCACTTTCTGAAAAGAGCAAAATTATGATAACGTATTAGTAAGCTGCTGGAGAGAAAAAAAGGTATTAGATTTGACGGGCACCATAGTTACACTCAAGAGAAGTCATAAAACGCCATTACATCCAGTAGCAACTAGAAAAGCTGTGGAAACGTGGTTTCCATAATGGCAGGATTCTGCACTCAGCAGAGACGGCGCCGCGACACCGATGCTGATTTCTAGCGCGACCCACAGCGGACGACAGCCATCATCAGCAGCAGCCAACAGCAGAAGCAGCAGAAGCAACGGGCAAGCAAGATTAGACGGCGCATGCAAGCACAGCGCTTATACGTAGGTGAGTGAGATGATGCCCTCCCTACCGCCGTGGCGAATCGAAGTCCCGATCCGGGTATTCGTCCAACACACGTTGGCGTTCCGCTGCTTGGCCGCGTGAGGCGCCACCTGATGCGTGTGAATGTGCTAAGCCTCTCCCGGTAATCCCGTTGGTAGACGCGGTCTCTATCACAAACGTACTTCCCTCTCGTCAGGGGTGAGGGTGCCACTGTTTACTTTAGCTCTTTCTAGCGTGTGAGTGTCAAGCTGTAAAAGCCGTGATTAGTCTTTGTTGCTCAACTCGCGCTTTGTGCTCCTTTGTTTGTTTGGTGTCATTCGCAGCACCACATCTCAGCAGCGTGTGGCATTTTGTGTTCCACGTGGGAAGGCGTTTTCCCGGAGTAACACGGTCGCCAACTCTGCGTTGTACTCGCGCACTTGACATGTACGTAACATGAACAGAGTAAAGTTTATTAACGATAGTTCATGTATAATTAGCAAATGCATAAAGCTACATAACCACGACATTATTAAGCCGTGACACACACACACACACACACACACACACACACACACACACACACACACACACACACACACACACACACACACACACACACACACACACACACACACACACACACACACACACACACACACACGGCATCTTCATTGCATTTGACGGTGCAGGAAACAAAACTTTAGGAGTGACTAAATTTCGTTATAGTGGCGGATATGCTATTACAGTGGCTGTGTAGCCAGTGATTTGCTTCAGGAAACCTCAAGAAATGAACAGCTGTCGAGAGCGTAGGTGTTGCATTGAAGACCTGTCAAGATCCTCATTGGAGCGATCATTGACACTTGTGAAAGAATGAAAATCAATGAGGTGGGTATTCATAGACGACACATAAGCCCGCGAAGCACAGCTGCACAGGAAACGCTCAGCGTGGCACAACAAAAAGTTCAATGCAACATTGCCACTTTTTTTCGAGCACAGCTCAAGAAGTTGTCTCCTTTTCTCACGAAAACGCAGGTCATATCACATCCACGCGGACTCGGTTATTTTCATGATCCAGTTCACATTCACAATGTTAACGAGAAAAATGTAGAGTGTGGAGTTGTTCTTAAATTGGACTGTGTCAAGACATCTATGGTACTGCACACATATGCTTCTTCAGCATAAAATGCGATTAGATACAATACGAACTTTGTTATCAACATACCATTTCCATACGTATCCAAAGACCTCTGTTGGCTTTCGTACGGTTCATACACAAGTTCACAGGCTAATAAATATGTTTCGTCGCTTGAACTTTACGCAAAAAAAAAACACTACACAGTTCAGTTGAACATCCTCGAATGTGTGGTGAGTTGTTGTCCCACTTGTACGCGCTTGTTAAGTGGCATTTCTGCACAAGTCGGGTACATACTGACAGTTTCTAGCGGTAAAAACAAACGAAAATTTCTTGTTACGGTTTCTGAAGTACTATTGGACATCAGTGGTCATATTCATTTAAAAAAGCACATTCGTCGGACTTGAAAATGTTCATTAATATTTTTGACGCTTTTGTTTTACGTAAGCAGACGCAATTTTCAGTCCTTTCCACACTGAACGTTGAACAGTAATTTTTTTTTTCAAAATTTCTTGGTTCATGCGTCCACGTATACAGTTTAGCCCTTGGGCGGACTCCTCTTCACTTGTTTTTCGCATGGCAGTAAGAGTCATGTTTCGTGATCTGCTCCACGTATCTACCCTTGGTGAGATGTGGTGGGGAGAGAATACGAGCTGACGAGGAGGGACTCGAAAGAAGGGTGGGTGGCATTCGGATGACACAGTCAAAACAGCTCATATGGAGGCTTTGTCAGGGTTGTGGCAGATAACTCGAACTCGCATTTTAAGCCGCTACGCTTGGGATTATTACCCGGGTTCACCCTATAGTAACCGGTGTGTTGGAGGCTGGCCTAACAGCAAGCTGCCTCGAAGACCTGAATTGTTTTCCTCAAAAACTACTTATTGGTCTTTCGAATTGTGAAACCGCTCTCCCGCAACAAATTTTTCACGCATTCCAAGCAGAGTAAGCGTTATCTTTTGTAATAAAGACAGACCGTGGCTACGCGGGCCAGCCCATACGTCTCATCAAGAAAAGCTCCAAGTCCGCCGCCACCGTCAACGAGGACGGACAGGGGGGACAAACAAGGGCACTCCGTGATGTACACGCGAGCCGAGAGATTTCTCTTTGCGTTATTTGCCGCAACTTGTCCCCGCTGCGTAAGCGGGCGTAGCAGTGAGTAGCAGTAGCTGGCGAGGGAAGTGCGCCACGGACAGCCGCCAGGCGGCACTCCCTCCGCCGACGGTCCGAGTGGAGTCCAAGGCCGCCAGGGTCGATGTCGTACGTGGCCCGGTCACGCACGCTTTTTCAGCCCCCCCCCCCCCTTCCCGCACCTCTACCAGCCGTGCTATGCCGTGAACCAACCACCGTGTCACGGTGATAACACAG